CTCCCCGCATCCCCCCACCTCCCCCTCCTCTGTTCCCCGACCTCCCCGCATCCCCCCACCTCCCCCTCCTCTGCACCCCCATCTCCCCGCATCCGCCCCCGGCCCCCCCATCGCCCTCCCCTTCCCTCCGTACCGTGATGGTCCAGGTGCAGGTCTTGCTGGGCGGGTAGTGGTTGGGAAACCCCTCGCTGGCGATGTACCCCGAGTCGCCCACGTGCTCCCCACCGCACAGGAACACGGGCCTGGGAGAGACCCCCAGAGTCACAGTCACTCGGGGCCTCTCATTCCCGACCCGCAGCCCCTGCTATCCCGGCCTGGGCTCCCCTCTGGCCCTGGTCCCCGCTGCGGTGAGCAGAGGAGCCAGCTGATGTCAGCATCCAGGATCCAGCATCTGTTTGTCCTGGCCCGGGCGCCAGGGGCTGGGAGAGCGGCCAGGCCGCGGACGGGGTGCGGAGCCCGTCCTGTCTCATGAGGCCTCCGGACAAGTAAGCAGACCCCACGTCCCTGCGGGGCCTGTGACAGCCCCCGGCCTGCCCCCGCCATCACCCCGACACTTCACCCACACACACGCCCCGGCCCGGGTCCCCAGCCTCGCACACGCGTGTGAAACTGGGGACGCACGGCCCGACATGGTGCACGGGGACGGAGAGGTGGAGGCAAGTGTGAAAAACCTGGCACACTCATTTTCCGGGGGGGTGGGGGAAACATGGGTGTATATAAGACAAAGCCCCAAATATCAGGGTGCCGGGTCCCCCCCCCCGCAGGGTGAAGGAACCGACTCTGTCCGGCCTCTGATCCCCTGGTTTGTTGACCATAAAAATCCAGTTTTCACCTCCCCCCACCTGTCCTTGGGGTCCCAGCCTGGCCCTCCCCCCCCCCGTTGCTCCCCCACAAGAGAATTCAGAGAATCCAGAGATCTTGGCTCATCCCGGCATCTGGCAGCTTCAGCTCCACTCCTAAATCCTTCCAGATGTGCTGGAGCCCGGCCTGTCCCGGCTCCTCCCGGCTCTGCCGGTGCCCCTCACTCCCGACCCGCAGCCCCCCGCTCTGCCGGTGCCCCTCACTCCCGACCTGCAGCCCCCCCATCCCTGGGGCCCCCCCAGCTCTGCCGGTGCCCCTCACTCCCGACCCGCAGCCCCCCCGCTCTGCCGGTGCCCCTCACTCCCGACCCGCAGCGCCCCCGCTCTGCCGGTGCCCCTCACTCCCGACCCGCGGGGCAGGGGGAGTTATGGGGCAGGAATCCGGGGGAAGGGGGAGTTGGGGGGCAGGGGGACAGCGGGCGGGGAAGAGTGGGGGGAAGGGGGGAGCTGGAGGGCTCGTGGGGCAGAGCTGGGGGGCTGCGGTACCTCGTGGCGTTAGGGGCGGGGGGCGGGTCGCTCTGCCCCATGGCGCAACCCCACAGCAGCAGCAGCGGCAACAGCGGGCTCCAGGCCGGGCTCATGCTGGGGCTGGGTCCGGTTGTGGGTCCGGTTACGGTCCCTGCGCGGACGGGCCGGGAAGCGGTGGGTCGAGATCAGCGGAGCCTTAATGGGAAGGAGCCGGGGGCGGGGGTCGGGACGGAGGGTTCCCCGAGGGAGGGGCTGGCTGGGGGCGGGGTCTGGGGGGAGGGGCGGGCAGGGGTCTGAGTGGGGCGGGGTCTGTGGGGAGGGGCTGGCTGGGGGATCCCCTGGGGGCGGGGTTTAGCCATAGGGCGGGGCTAGCTGCCATGGGGGCGGGGCCTATTCCCGCTCGGGGCGGTGCTGACGTGGCGCAGGGGCGCGGCCTGTAGGGCGGAAGCGGCCCCGCGCTGGGGGCGAGGTCTAGTAGCTGCGGGGGGGGGGGGG